GACCCGCGCCTCGTGCCTCGCGCCTCGCTCGCGGCGCCGCGCGTGGGCACACGCTATGACGCGGGACTCGTCCACCGCGTCCGCGCGCCCTTGCCGATGTCCTCGTTACCTAACCGCTCTCTACGCACGTGCCCGGACTTACACGCGCTAAATTGAATCCGCGCGTATTGACGACCGCCAGCAACGACGTCACTTGATACTTTCTGTAGTTCGATAAGCTGGATTCGATTGTGGTATTTGTGCGTTCGAAGACCGCAGAGCCTCCCAAGTGCGCTTTTGAGTTCGTGCCAGGAGGGGTTTGGCTTGTCTCAAAGCGAGCCCCTTGGCCATTTCGGCTATAGCCCCCCCCCCCCTCAGCCTCTCACCAGTTGTCGGCGGCATCTGAGGATCGCCTCCCCAATAATGCATGAGTGGGGCCACCCTGTGAGCTCGGGGCTACTAGTTTTCCAGACTATCAGGAGAGTCGAATTAAGCATTTCTCACTGAATATCCATGAGTATCGGGGGCTGCCATGATTAAGCGAAGAACCCAAATACGGAGACAAAACCCGAGTTGCTCAGATCCCACAACCCGTCTCTTCACTGCGCATACAGCACTAACGACGTGAGTACCCCCGGGCAGTGAGGATCTTAGCAGAGCCGGCTCATTGCACCTCCTTGGGCGCTAACGACCCGAGTTCTGCCGAGAAACTGGAATCTGAGTGGACGTATCCAGACCCCGCCGCTCACCGCTCGCCTTCGCGGCCGATGGTTCTCTTCTGCGGTGCGACAAGCTACACTAGGAGTTACACAATTTTTGTAATTGATCGTGTGTATGCTATGTATATTATGTATAAGTCATGTATATGTTCTTGCTTCCACGAAAACTTGTGTAAATATAATTCGCAAGAGGAGACATCCTATTATTTGGCGCATGACAAATTTAAAGCGTTCGGAAATTAAAAGCTTTTTCTAGCGATAAATCACAAATGTTAGGCATTGTAAATACTTCAGTCTACCGCTTATGTTAATGTTTATGTCTATGTGCTATGCTTATGTTTAGGTTTGCATCGTGCATTAAGTGTGTGTGCGAGTAAGGGGAAACGAGAGGAAATGATGAGGAAGGAAATGTCATGTACGATCTGATGCACGTTTGTTAAGATACTAGGAAATATTCTGTTTCTTATCTTTTTGTCGTATGGTTGCGCAATAAATACTTTTATTAAAATACTTTTAGCCGAACTCAGTTTTTATGATTCATTTCATTAAAAAACCCGTGTTCTGAACCATTTTATTTATGTAGATAAGTTTTGTTAAAAACCTGAATTTTTGTATGAATTAGAATTTGAAATCACAAAATATAATTTGTTTTGTGTTATTGACCGCTTGTTGCGTGGCAATGTTTCCGTCAACGTCATAATGATAATTAGGAAAACGCAGAACCGATTCTGGAGTGATGTTAGAAAGCCCCTTTGCTGTACCGGTGTTACTCGTATTTAGCATCGGAGTTAGTAGAGGTAATTAATGAGCATTAAATACCCTCGGATATAATTTGACGAATGGCCGATCTAAAGGACATT